CTAGGAGCTGTTTTATTTGAGCTTAGAGCTTGGAGTAGTCTCATACCTAGTGCATTTGTTTGGGAAAAAAATCCATGGCAATTACTTAAAATCTCAACACCCAGGAGGATAATATTAGTTCAAACAAAAAGCTGACCAATAAAAGTAAAAGGAATACCTGAGAATGAATGCCCACAGAAGGCTTGGAAATGCTCCAAATTGTCTTTGGAACAGAGAAGACTATACACATGTGTAGGCTGTGCATATGCCAAGGGAATCCCTGAGAAGGTGCTAACCTTTCACCTTTGGCTGGCCTTGAGGCTTCAAACAAGGAGGAGAAAAGCCAAGGCAGAGCTGCAAACTACTTACTAGGGTGTTGAAGGTGCATCTAAGCCCAAATGCCAAGACAAAAGAATTTGTTGCTACCATACCTTCACTGCAGGATACAGTAAAGCTGGAAGCTTCTATACCCCACTTTCAATAACACACAGATCAGAGATCAACAGGGAAATAAAAAACTTAAACAACACTACAAACCAACAAGACCTAACAGACATCTAAAGAACATCTATAGAGATTAAGTTAGTAATAACAAAACTTGCTGCAAAAGAAAATCCAAGACCAAACAACTTCACTAGTGAATTCTACAAAACATTTAAAGAATTAGCAAAAATCCTTTGCCAATTCTTCCCAAAAATAGAAGTAAAAGGAACACTTTCCATTTTGATCTATATGGTCCTGATACCTAAATCATAAAAGGACATCTGAGGAAAATAATAGACCTATACTTCTTAAAAATATATGCACAAAAAAACCTAAACAAAATACTAGCAAATTGAATCAAACAACACATAAAATGATTATCTACCATGACCAAATGGGATTATACAAGAAGTGCAAAGTTCATTCAACCTCTGAAAATCAGTCAATGTTATACATCTCATTAATAGAATGAGGGGGGGATTATCTGAATAGACTCAGAAGAAAGCATTTGACAAAATCAAATACCTTTCATGACTAAAAACACTGAACAAAAACTGAATAGAAGAAAACATCTTCAAACTGATAAAGAGTATCTAAAGACCCACAGCTAACATCATACTTCATAAAAGACTGAATAGGGCAGCACCTGTGGCTCAAAGGAGTAAGGTGCCGGCACCATATGCCAGAGGTGGCGGGTTCAAACCCAACCCCGGCCAAAAACTGCAAAAAAAAAAAAAAAAAAAAAGAATAAATTAAAGACTGAATAATTTCCCCCTAATATCAGAAAGAAGACACAACTGTTGGCTCTTGCCACTTCTATTCAACACTGTACCAGAGGTTCTAGCCATAGCAATTATGCAAAAGAGAAAAAGTATCCAAACTGGAAAAGGAAAAAGGAAAACTATCTATTCTAAGGTGACATGCCTTATGTACAGAGACTTCTAAAAAGCTAATAAGCCAAGGGTGAAACAAATCATATCTATGAACACTGGAATCACTCAGACAGTTGCAAAGCTTATAAAAAGGACAGAAAGTGAGTCAAGGGCCAAGATTTTTGTGAGCAACTGAAAGGGATCAATGAAAAAGAAAAGATACAACCAAAGGCCCCAAATCTCAAAGAAAAGGGACATAAAAATACTTCATTTATAAGTGACAATGAGGAATGAGTCCAAAATCCCACCTTTCAATAGTAAGGTACTATTGGAAAATAAAAATCCTTCACATAAAAATGTTACTGGGAAGTAGTGCATCTAGGAAAGAACTAGGTTTTGGTTACAATCAAAAGAATGAAGATAAGAAATCAATAATGTACGTTTCTTAGGATGTGAGAGAATTCTATATAGCATAGTGGAAGGTATAGGAAAAGAGGAAGCCTGAGTAGAAAAGAAAAATGAAAGATTAGGCCAGATTAGGTGGACTAGTAAAAGATTAGTCCCATAATTCTTTCCGGCTTGCATTGAAGAATATGTGAGAGAGCAGCACTGTGATGAGAATATGAGAGAATGCAGTTTGGTAGTTCTCACCAGTCTTCCCAGGACCTTTGAATTATGGGTAAAGCATATCCTAAAATTAACTATAGTAATAAAGGGAGTTGACTGACAGAAAGACAGAAACACTCAAGAAGTTGTATATAGGAAGAGGGCATTTAACATATGTAATATTAAAAAGGCTATTTTTTAATCCAAATTCTTTTATATTAACTGTTTATACATCCAAACTCTTTAATACTAAGGTATAAATAGACAATAATAGAATAATAGTTTCAAAGTATGTTGGATTAATGCTTATCTTAGAAAAATTGTCTTTTTATACCACCCACTCCTATAACTGGCTCTGGGGAATCTAGACATCTCAAACCTATCAAAACCACCCCAAAACTGGAGGAGATCAATAAATTGGCCAACTTATAATCATTCACTAAAAACCAGTCTGCTTTAGCCTACCTACAGGGAAGCGCCATGCTAAGTAAATCAGATTAGCAATCCCTAAGAATGCCATGTAATGCTCGCTTGTCACTAAGAATTACCAGTATAGATGATCCACCACACATGATAGTCCCCTAAGACTAAGAGAGATTTATGATCATATATTTTAGAAAATGCCTACATATTATACCTTTTACTATCTTTTGCAAAACCATAGTGCTACATCTATATGTAAAAGCACCATTAAGCCCACTATTTAAAAAGAATTTCTTTATTCTCATACTTACTTAACCAGAGAACCTCTCTTTTCTTCTGACATTCAAGGAACACAGTTTTTGGAAAACATTGCTTCACTCTTCTGACAGATGACTACATAATCAGCCTCAGGTTGGCCATTATGAAAGACAAAAGATGACTATCTCCGGGTAAATCCATTTCATTCTGAACAGTCTAAATAAGCTGAAATTTGTCACCCTTTATCCTAAACCACATATAGTTTTGCTATCTAGAGTTAGAAATCACATCTTCTCATTCCTTAAAATGACCTAGCATCCAGCTAAGGGAAACTCAAGAGTAAATCTCTGAAAATACCACACCCTTTCCTATATGCTTTTGCACATGCCATTCTTTCCATCTGGAATATTGACCTTTCTCCTACAGAAATAGCTCCTTTGCAATTTCTACAGTCATACTTTCAGAATCAATTCAATAGTAACTTCCTTTACACTCTACTGTCCTAGACAAAAACCAGTTGCTACATGCTCTTTTAGTCCTTTATACATCATCTTATTGAAGCATCCATCATCATTGTACTATTCTGACACCCACTCATAACTGTCAATATGCTTGTCTGTCCTGCAGACTCAGCACCCTGGCAGAAAGAAATGCATACTAACCACCTTTCCATAGGATGGAACAAGCATGTGAATCATATCCCAACTAGTAAGTGCAAAAGATTCCTAATAAGCTTGCTCACTTCAGAATATTTATCATCTTCAACACAGTGGCCCCAAGAACCCTTTATCAATCCACAGCTTTTACCTCTCATAGCATCTCTAAATTCATCCCAGGTTGAAAATTTAGCATAGGCTCGACATATAGGTTCTCAATGAATATGTGTTAAATAGATGTATAAATCTTCAAAATAAGCAATGGTACATAATTTAGTTTAGCTTCTAAATTTACCTCCTTATAAAGGGAATATCAAAGATTAAGGAAGTATAATATTCATTATTAGCAAAGAAAATGTCTTAAATCAGATTCTTGCTTGGTATTACCAACTCTCTGATGTCCCCTCCTTATCAACAGCCCAAATGGTAGAAACAGAACAGCCAAAATAATTCCTAGGAGGATATGCACTCCATACATTCTTCAAGATCTTCTCAATTATATTCTTGCATTGAATTATACCAACAAAAAGGATTTTTAGCTGGACATCACTGGCTCATGATTCACTTTAGAACCTTCCTTTTTCAGTTCAACTAGAATTCTTTGCACCTTGCATTGAAGAACATAACTAAGAAACAGAATTAAGAAATTTGTCATTATTTTTACTTTGGGAAGCTGCTGGGACTATTTACCACTAACACAAGGTGTTCTCATAAGTACTCAATGTAAGCAGGGTTTTCTCCCTTAAAAGCAAATTCCCAGGGTTTTCTCTCTTAAAAGCAAATTAATCCAGAAGAAACACACCCTTTATCTCATGTACACTGTACATCTTGTAATAAATTATATTTTATTCTTTTCTCTTGTTGCAAAGAATCTTAGAAAAAAACTTTTCCTTAATTTAGAAACTATACGGGACCGTGTTTTCCTTCTATAATTTCTTTAGCCTAGTTTTATTATTTGCATTGTTAATGTGTTCCAGTATGACTTCAAAGCCCTGTGGAATAAGATAAAGAGTGAAAATGAAGAAATTCATAAATAATAACTGCCGGGTACACACTGTAAACCAGACACTGCTCCAGGTATTTTTAACCACAATCCTTTAACAATAAGAGAAAGGTATTCACTATGTTTCATAGATGGGAAACTGAAGTAGAGAAGGGATTAAATTATCCAAACTTGCAAAACTAATTTGTGCCAAGCCAGGTTTCAGCCCCAAGTTTAAATGACTACAGAGCTCTGTTACACAGATGATCTGATCAAAATAAAGATTATCCTATACGTAAAACAAAAAAAAAGCTTCTAGCATTGTATAGTAGGTTCTTCTGTTTCTAATGGTACTTATGGAACTTTAAAATTTCAACCAATTATGTAAGCAAAGAAGACAGATCACTTGGCACTAATTTTACACATTATTATTTAGAAAAATATAAGCTTTAACAAAGTCAACATGTAATCATTCATAAATAAGAACTAGAAAATCATACAACTTAAAATCAAAATGAGACACAAATATAATATGTATGTTTACGATAAGCTAATGAAAAAGGATTTAAGCCAAAAAGAAATAATTGGACATATTACTCCATTTAGTACCATATATAACCTGAAATTTTTTTTTGAAGCCCCTACAAACTAGACAAAAACAATTGCAGGGGGGTAGGGAAAGTACAGTTCAAAAATTAATCTCAGGATAGCAAATGAAATCCAAGTTAGAACAGCACTTACCTGCTCAAGTCGCTTTTTCCACGGTGATGATAGTGATCAGGATGGCTGAGGTGGTAATGTTCCTGTCCACTCCACCTCTGGGGTGGCCTTTTCCAAAATCCTTCCTGAGACTGCCGAACATTTCTGTCTGGTCGGTCAAAGCGGTTCATATTGTCACACTCCACTGGACAGATTGAAAAGCAGAAGACTATAAACATGCACACACTCCACAAAAGTTAACTACTTACAGCTTAATAATTAAATGCTGCTGAAAATAAAAAAGCAGTCTTCTAAAAAAAACCAGCCATTTATGCTAGCTAATCACAAAATCAAGATTTCCAGAAGAATTACCAGTTTCTTTGGTGAAAATTGAACTTTATATTAGTCAAACTGAAGCAAATTATAATACTTTTACATCACAGCCATCTAAATAAACAATTAACTGCTTTACTGTTTTAAAACAAGCAAATTGTCCCTGAAATCAACATGATACATTTTAAACACCAGTAATCAATTTGGGATGGTTTCCATTAATATCGCAAGTTGGCTCTGATTTCAGAATGAAAATGACAGGAAAACGTTGGCTTTTAAAAGTCTAGTCGAGAACTCATTCCTAAAAATGAATGCCATAATTAATTTCCACTGATTTTAAGAAGCACTAATTAGCTTTCCATCACAAACAAATCACATTTTTAAAACGAAGCTCACATTTTCAGAAAACAAGACCCTTCAATCAGCCTGTAGTTAAGAGTTTGTTCAAAGTCTAAATGCCACTGAAAACAAAGCCAGTACTTTGCAGCAACAAATAGTACACTCCCTTAAATCCAAATACCACAAAAACACGTAAAGAATCTCTTTGAAACATCCCAAGCTTCTTCACTTACCCAAAGACTTTTCCCTCACATATCTGAGCACTCACTGAGAGAGTTACTTTGCACAAGGGAGACATTGTGTTACCGGCTGCCTACTCAGACATAGTTGCACACAAGGCACTGCCGAGCAGGCCTTCCTTCCTGCTCAACTCCCAGCCCTCCCAGTGGGAAGCAAGCCCAGTTTGCCCTGTGACTCCATCTTCACTCAGTGCTTGCATAGCTACTGACTTAGGACTGTTACTAAAAATACAGCTAAACACTAACCCAAGCCACAGAACAGGAAAGGTTTCTCTAGTCTGAGAACTATTACATGGAAAATTAAAGTCTTGCATGTTTGGGATTCCTTGTTACCAAAAAAAAAAAAAAAAAAAAAGCTTTAAAAATCAACATAATCTTTCAATTAAAAAAAAACTCACTTATTTACTGTTTCACTGAATCAAAAACTTGAATTTGAAACACAATAAGTTATGTCATTACAGTATACTAGATGAAAACAAACATTGTCATTCCAAAAAAGGAAAATATAGTTAAAGTACAGATATTCAATTCTCATACCAGGACTCATTCTAATATATTTTCTCCAAATGTATAACAATTTATATAAGTAAAACATTTTTGAAAAAGCACTGAAATTTTATTCATATTCATTAGAGAAATCAATGGGAGGGAAGAATATACACATGTAAACATTTTATAGTCTTTAAAAAAATTTAAGTATGCAAAAGAAGATTTCCATTTGAAATTACTTCAAACAACTTCTATCATCTTAATGGGACAGACTAAGTTTTTTTTTTAAAGCTCACTTATAGAAAACCAAACACAAAAAGGCAAGGTGATCATTATGCTGCCTCCCTCCACCAAAAAAAATAAAATCACAAGTAGAAATGAAATTACAAAAGAAAAAGAAATTTTTAAAACCTAACCCCAAGAAGGTTTAAAACTATTTTTAGATTAGTGCCTTTAGCTACATCATTTATAAACTCACACCTGTATTCTACTCATAGATTCAGTCAAGATCTCCTAAGTATTTCTACGTGGCTTAAAATGCTACTTTAGTTTAAGCAACTCTGTATAGAAAAGAGCTAAATCTTTATCTACTTTTACATATTCTGAATTCTATTTTTTCTTAATTTAAACAGAAGAAACTACATTCACCCTCATAGCAAGAAGTGTGTTTTTGTGTGTGTGTGTGTGGTTTTTGGCTGGGCCTGGGTTTGAACTCACCACCTCTGGCATATGGGACCAGCGCCTTACTCCTTTGAGCCACAGGCGCCACCAAGAAGTGTTGTTGGAAAAAAACACCTGATAATGCTTTTACAATGATTATCAACATTGGACACAAAGAGTAAAAAGATACAAACAAACCAGGAAATGGGTTAAATATTACCGGCAATTACAATGCAGAAACATACACTACTTTTCTGTTTGCTAAAGGTTGCTGGCTCCACATACAGACTCCAATAGAAGAATAATTGAAATTTAAACTCAAACATGGGCATAATGGCAAAATAAGCATTGGAAATATACATTCACCATGACTACAAAAGACTTATGTTCAAATTTAGACAGTGGGCTTAAACTATAAACAAATGACTATTCCAAGACTGTACAGAAAGTACCATGCTTGGGCCAGGCACAGTGGCTCACGCCTATAATCCTAGCACTCTGGGAGGCCAAGGCTAGTGGACTTCCTAAGCTCATAGGTTGAAGACCAGCCTGAGCAAGAGTAAGACTCCATCTCTAAAAAACCACAGCTGGGCATTGTGATGGGTACCTATAGTCCCAGCTAATTGGGAGGCTGAGGCAAGCAGATAGCTTGAACCCAGGAGTTTGAGGTTGCTGTGAGCTATGATGCCATAGCACTCTACCCTGGGGCAAAAGAATGAGACTCTAATGAAAAAAATAAGGAGGAGGAGGAGGAGGATAAAGGAGAGAGAAGAAAGAAGAGGAAGAAGAAAAGGAAGAAGAAGAAGAAAGAAAGAAAGTGTCATGCTTATACTCTTACCTGAGAGACTCATCAACCACACATTCACATACTTTAAAATGTTTACAGGAAGAGAATATGAAATAGTAGGGGCAGCGCCTGTGGCTCAAAAGAGTAGGGCGCCGGCCCCATATGCCGGAGGTGGCTGGTTCAAACCCAACCTCGGCCAAAAGCCGCAAAAAAAAAAAAAAAAAAAAAAAAATGAAATAGTAGCAGTTTCATAGAAACAATTAAGGGTTCCATGACAAAGGAAAGAAACAATAGAAAAAAGATAATAGAAAGAAAATAAAATTGTAAGATGAAGACAAATGAAACCACCTTCCAGAGCCTGATAATTTTTGACCCAATGTGTTGATCATAGGCCAGATTTGGCCCTAACTATAAGTTGAAAACCCCTACTGGTGAAAATATAGGGCATCTGAAGGCGGTCTCTAGCTCCAAAAGTAAAAGTCAGCAGATTATAGCGTTCTTTTAATATAAAGTAAGAGAGAAAGATAATGTCAGGACTTTTGGTCTCCAGAAAGGGAAAGATGACATAACATGGCCGTAACTGGCTGACCAGCTATAGCAGATAATATCAGCCCTGGACACCAAACAGACATAAGCTTCTTTTGATGAATATCCAGTCTTGGACTGTGTTTTAGCACTTCATCTTTACCAAACCATTGTGCAGAACACTTGCAATTGTCAAAAAGAACCCATTTTTCATCATACATGACAATGCAGTGTAGAAATGATTCTCCTTTATGTCATGACAGCACAGAAAGGCAAGCTTCAAGACCACTTCTCTTCTGATCCTCATTTAATTCAGGTGGAACCCATCTATCCAGTTCCCTTACCTGCTGATTTGTTTCAAATACTCCAATACTGCAGGAATAGTAACATCAAATCTTACTGCTAATTCATGTGTAGGCTGAGCTGTATTCGTTTCCACTACAGCTTTCAACTCATCATTATCTACCTTGGTCTCATTTTCAAAATTAAAATCACCAGAATGGAATGTCACAAACCATGAATGTACTGTGCATTCCATAGCTACATCCTCCCCAAACACTTCATTGATATTTTGAGCTGTCAACACGGCATTGTTTCTATGATAGAACGCATACTTGAAAATTATACAGATTTTTTACTTATCCATGGTTTCACAAAAATTGCTATAAAAATTTCAAAGATAAAACACAAGCCAAAATGTGCATTTGAAAGAATGAGGATGAGCTTTCACAATAAAAATAAAATAAGAAGTATTACAAGTGAAATGTCAGAGATAGCAACTGTCAACTTTGGTATGTGATGTGGGGATTCCTGTATCTAACACTCGTTCAACTCATTTTCATTTTTTGATTAAAAAAAAGCCATGATACTAAAAGTAACCTACATAATTTATCTTATAACTTTAAGCCCTAAGCAAGTAAAGGATGACACAGGTAATATTTCCATAAGTAATGAACAATTGGATATGAAGATAGCAAGGAAACGTGAAATAAGTGTGATTTAATAGGCACGTAATTTCCTGTGGAGTTTAGGAAGTCATTAAAAAGATAATGTTCTCAACAGAGAAACGTTTAAAACAGAATGGATTCAAGTATTGGGGCTGAGGATATACCTCCTTAATGTATGACTCAGGAGACCAGATCCCTCTTTGGCATATTTTGAGCCGTGTATGTTAAGAAACTACAGAGGAGTTGCTCTGAAAAGCTGACCTTTCATAAAAGAAATATACATCTATAGAAGAAATCCACATTAGTAAAAAATATCTGTATTAGGCAGTTCTGTCAATTTTAATTGACTTTTATTACCTAAGAAATTTTTTATCTGCATATCAAGACAACCTTTACTCACCACACATTTTTCTCCCTCCCCTTCCTATAATTTGTGTCTCCAAGCTAAAGCTCCTATTCCTTCCCGTAGTTCAGGATGCCATATAAGTCTTAATCATCTGACCCTTCTTCATGTCTCATAATTTGTAGGCATCGTGTGTATACATACATAAATCACTTTTCTCCTATTAATCTGCTTCTGTCAATTTAATTTGTAGCTCAAAGAACCTGGAAAGGTAGAGGGAAGCCATTTCTCTTTCTCCTACAGAGGAGTAGCGGCAAATGTAAGAGTGTTTATGCTGCAGAAATTCATGAACAAGAGGATTATACTATGAATGTGTCAAGTGCCAGCCTTTAAACTGCAGGCAATAAGTGTCCATTACAAGAGAGTAAAGCAACACAACTCCCATTTTGACATACAAAATTGTTCAGTTTAGAAACACCTTAAACGGCTCAAGTTGCTAAGTCGCCAGCCACACACACCTGAGGTGGCGGGTTCGAATCCAACTCAGGCCCACCAAATTACAAGGACAGCTGCAACCAAAAAATAGCTGGGTGTTGTGGTGGGCGCCTGTGGTCCCAGCTACTTGGGAGGCTGAGGCAGGAGAATGGCTTGATGCCACAGCACTCTACCTAGGGGTTCTGTCTCAAAAAAAAAAAAAAAAAAGAAAGAAAAGAAAGAAGCACCTTAAACAAAAAGTCTGTCAAAAGAAATTTAGATTGCAAAATTCTATCTTTAAGGAATTTTTTGACCAAAGTAAGAGAAAAATGTTTTTTTAAGTTAAGACTATCTCTCTTTAAACTATTCCCAAATCATTTAGGCTCATGTCTGTAATCCTAGCAATTTGGGAGGCTTAGGCAGGATTCCTTGAGCTTAGGAGTTTGAGATCAGCCTAAGCAGTAGAGAAAACCTATCTCTACTAAAAATCGAAAAATTAGGCACCTGTGTCCCGGCTAATTAGGAGGCTGAGGCAGGAAGCCTGAACCCAGGAAATTGAGGTTGCTGTGAGCTAGGTTGATGCCATGGCACTCTAATAAGACTCTGCCTCAAAAAAAAAAAAAAAATCCTTCCAAATCACACCAGTCAGTTAAGTACTGGAAGAGGGAGACTATTAACACGCTTATAAATACTGTAAATAGAAAGGATATTTGGGAAACAATTGGCCTACATGCAATTAGAAACAAAGGAAAATAAATAAAGTAGGCGGGAAAAAAGTGTTCTAAAGGGAAATTCAAGGACTCAATTTCCTGCCTTCCCCCTAAACTCAAAGATGAATTTTTCTCAATTGTAAAGAACAATCTTGCAAATGTTTTATTTATACAAAACTATGATATAAACCTTTAAGTTCACAAATGTTATATAACCTGACTGACTAGGATCACCGTTAACTCAGGTGTGGATTTCTATGTTAGGGCTCAGAATATGATACTCCAAAGTCTGGCATCTTGGTATGGTGAGTGTTTTGAACTGAAGGAAACTGGAAAGGTATCTCTTTCTCTTACTCTCCTGTCTCCCATCCCTTTCTACCTTGAAGAGAGTCAGAGAAACCAGAATTCCTCTTCCCTGAAGAGGTCATAATACTGAGAACCTCCCACCCTTAAAGCAAGCCATTAAACATAGACAGGTTATTCTCTTTCATCTCCATTCTTCCTTGAAGACCTTCATTCCAGAAGAGTCCTACGGAATACCTGGGAGGCAGAAATGCTACTCCGAGTTCAAGAAGAATCTAAGCAGCCAGCCCTTGCTGCATCCTCCATCCCTGCGGTCTATTACATTTGATCATACCCTTTTATACAATGACATTTCTTTTTTTTTTTTAGACAGAGCCTTAAGCTCCCCTGGGTAGAGTGCCGTAGCATCACAGCTCACAGCAACCTTCAACTCCTGGGCTCAAGCGAGTCTCCTGCTTCAGCCTCCCAAGTACCTGGGACCACAGGCGCCAGCCACAACGCCTGGCTATTTTTTGGTTGCAGTCATCATTGTTATTTGGCGGGCCTGGGCTGGATTCAAACCCGCCATCTTAGGTGTATATGGCTGGTACCTTAGCCATTTGAGTCACAGGCACAGAGCCTATACAATCACATTTCTACACAACTATCCATTCTTTATTGAGCCTGAGCTTAAAAATAGATATATTTCCCTGGATCACTGGGTCTTCACTTCTGAAGGTTCCCCCTGTGTCACATATAACTTTGATTAAACAAATTTATTACGCTTTTCTCTCATTGACCTGTCTTCTGTTATAGGACCATCAGCTATAGCCCCTTATGAGTGAGGAAAAGTATCACACCTTTCTGCCCCTACATCTCCAGTGATTCTCAGACAGTCCCCACAACTGTCCAAGAAACATCTGGCCAACATTTTCTTTTCCTTTGTACTACCTCACATGCTAGTTGATAGAGTTGACTGTGTTAATGCAATTTCCATGTAAATACTCTCATGGCTTCTTACATGAAAACTGTGAAGACCACCCCCCATTTATAATTAGGTAATAGCAAACTTCAATACATTAAACCCAAATTGAAGATCTCAATGAGGTGCCAATCTCCTTGTGAGCAAAAATTCCACTAATATTGGCTCAATTAGAGGAGATAAAGCCATTATAAAGTTCAGAGTGAACAATCCAAATCTCTACCCAAACTTGCATAATATTTTACTTCAAAAAAACAGAAGTAAAAAGGTCAAAACCAATAATTGAAAGCATTTATTAGAAAACTCCTTAAAGCTCTACCAGTCCTTGTAACATTCCTATCCTCCCAGCCAAAAAATAGAATGGGCAGATATAGTCATTAGGGACTTCAAAGCTATAAGAATAATCATTCCCCACTTTCCTCTAGTAGTAAACCTAAATTCCACTTTATCTTTAATGCCTTCTGAGGCTACATATTTTAGATCCATGTTGTTTCTTTTGGGTTCCTTTAGCTCTAAATAGCCAACAGTTGTTTGCGTTCTCCTAGAAAAAATCTATAATACTGTTCACATGGGATGTTCCCAGGAATTCCCTCCTACTTTTCACAGATCTTCAAATAAGACTTTAAAGACTTAAGATTTCCCTGTAGTTCTACTTTTATCTAATATGTGGATAACTTTCTGTTGTTCATTAAAGATAAGGCAGGCTCTAAAACAATTCCATCTCTACTTCCTGTTTCAGATCAACAAGGGCACAAAGTTTCCAAAGAGAAGTTGTTATAATTCTGTCAAAGAATTATATGCAATATCTTGGGTATGATTTATTTCAAGAAGTCACTGAGATTTTGAGATCATTACACGGCATTCTGGCAGAAGAAAATAAAAACAAATATGAGTTAGTGGTAAAGTAGCAAGCAGGTGAAAGCGGATACCCGAGAAAGGCGAGGTCTGGGAGAACAGGTCTTCTCAGGGAAACCTCAAAGATGCACCTGCAGGGTCCTCTCCATGGTGACTCAGCTCTTAGGAATTTGTAGGCTTAACTTCCTGGAACCTGGAAATTTCCAAGTTCTGTGAAATCCTGTAGTTCTGGAGGGGCTAGACTAGCATCTCCCACTTGATTCAAACTGGCCAATGAATGAGAAGGGTACCTGTGGTGTGGAACTTTTTGTCAATAAAAAGGGAAAGATTAAGCTAGTCAGGGAGCGCAGCCATTTAGAAATCTTCTATACCGTAAGCTCCCGGCCGATGAATAAAGCCCTTCCTCTTATAAACGTGGTGTTTGGGTGCTCTTTCTCTCTGATGAGCTTCATCTTCCTGCAACACAGGCACTTAACACCCTGATGAAACACTAGGACGAACACCTCCTCTCTCTCTGAAATACTCTTGCATTTTTCTAACACCATAGACAAAAAGGACTCTATTTGCCCTTATATTTTATCCCTGCCCCGGGAGGCCGAGGCCACCTGGAAAATATTGACTGACAAGAAACCTTTACTCTCTAGAGCCATTCCTCTCCCCTGGGAGGATCTCCCTTACCCCAAGGACTTTCTTATGCTGATCTCTGGTTCTCCACCAGTCCTTAAGACAGAAAACCCTACAAATTTTATGTCACTGGGGGCAACAGAATTCAAGCCCTCCTTGCATTTTGACCCCTCTTGCATTTTTACCTAAAGTGCTATCCCAGTAGTACTAAGATCTAGAGAGAAGACAGACTAGGATTGGCAGTAAAAAGGATAGAATAAACCATAGAGAAGGTCATAATTTTCCCAGAATTGATCTTCTAAAAATATTAATCAAATTAATATATTGTTTCACAAGCCAAATGTATCCTCTAAATACACTTCTTAAAAATAAAATGAGACAAAGTGAGGAAACACAGGTATGTTTGTGTATCTACCACATACAATAAAATACATGATGTCATGCAGAATTTATATCTAAGACCTACAAAATCATATTTTAAACACTTAAGTTAGTTTGCTAATAAAATTATCTCATATCACTTAAGATTAATCCTCAAAGTTAAAGGCTCCCCTGAGACTAAAAAGTCTACAAGTAATAAATATCAAATTAACATTAGCCAAATAGCTCAAGTATAAGCCCCTGGAGATTCAATGTTGTCCCAACTTACCATTTTCAAGAGGTGTATCCTCAGGCAGATCCACATCAAGCATAAGGTCATCATCTTCAAGATCACATGATTCAAGATTATTCAGAATATCCTGTTAACAAAAGCAGTAAAAAATGCTATAACCTAGCTCCTGGGATCTGTATAACCATTAGTTTTTAAAAATATCACATGATGGCTCAGCACCTGTGGCTCAAGTGGCTAAGGCACCAGCCACATACACCTAAGGTGGAGGGTTCGAATCCAGCCCGGGCCTGCCAAAACAACAATGACGGCTGCAACCAAAAAATAGCCGGGCGCTATGGCAGGTGCCTGTAGTCCCAGCTACTGGGAGGCTGAGGCAGGAGACTCACTTGAGCCCAGGAGTTGGAGGTTTCTGTGAGCTATGATGCCACAGCACTCTACCCAGGACGACAGCTTAAGGCTCTGTCTCAAAAATAATAATATTTTTTTAAATCTCTGGACAATTATCTAATCTTGGGACAAGAATGAAATTTTACTCCGAACATCTTTATCAACATGAAAATATTTGTTGTCCTTAATATATAGTCTCTTCTTAAAAATTATTATGGATACATAATAGGTTTTTCATCTTAGAGGGCATATGGAATGTTTTGATACAGGCATACAATGTGAATTATATCTATCACCAAAGGCATTTATCATTTCTTTGTGTTAGAAACATTCCAATCTCATGCCCTTAATTATTTTAAAGTATACCCTACCTTATTATTGATTATGGTCACTTTGCTGTGCTATCTACATAGTCTTAATATAGAGAAAAAAAAGATGAACATATAAGAAGTTGGCAAAGGGAGTAATGACAATTCCAAGTATAAAATAAATGGTCAACAAATATGATACAGGAAAGAATGATAAAACCAATGTTGATTTATCACAAATTAGAACAATCTAGTACTCATGTATACTAACAATAGGAATAGATTCAATACACATGTTCTGGAGGCCAATTTATCAAAATTTTACTAAAGCTATTTTTTAAAAGGCAGTTTTTTCCCCTCCTAAGAATTTATCCCTTACAAACAGACAAATGAACAAAATGTATGTGTAAGTAGCATTTGCAATGCAATAGGGCATTGTTCACAATGGCAAAAAGTAGAAGCAGCCTAAATGCTCAACAGGAAAATGGTCAAACAGAAAGTATAGTACAGTCTGCAATGGAATACTCTGTTGTTCTTTAAAAGATAATAAAATATATACTTATAAACATGGAAAGGTGCTAAACAGACTAAATTTTTTCCTATCTTTTGCTTTCAAAAATAATGCTATAATAAACTCCTTAAATCAGAAACAAAATGAAATAAAAGGACCTAACTATGCCTCCAATTGATGGCATAACACTCAGAAATTACTTCAAGTGGAAGAAAAAAATGCTCAAACTGTTTTTGGTAATTATACTACGGGTCGGGCTGTGCCTGTGGCTCAGGGAGTAGGGTGCTGACCCCATATACTGAGGGTGGCAGGTTAAAACACCGCCCCAGCCAAACTGCAGCAAAAAATAGCCAGGCATCGTGGTGGATACCTGTAGTCCCAGCTACTGGGGAGGCTGAGGCAAGAGAATTGCCTAAGCCTAGGAGTTGGAGGTTGCTGTGAGCTGTAACACCACAGCACTCTACCAAGGGTGACAAAGTGAGACTTGGTCTCCAAAAAAAAAAAAAAAAATTATACTATGGGTGATAGTAATGGAAATATTACTTTTGAAATAATGTATATACACTCATATAAATATAAGTGAAATGTTGATGTTTGTTAAAAATGGATTCTCATTTTAGGAAAAAAGACATTGATATAGGAACAATGAATAATTCTATGTTTCTGAATTTGAGCGGGAAGTATCAACACAAACACAACATCTTAAAAGAAAAATACATTCCTCCCACTGAAAAGGACTGAGCATTGGCTGGGCGCCTGTGGCTCAAGTGGCTAATACACCTGAGCTGGTGGGTTTGAATCCAGCCTGGGCCCGCCAAACAACAATGATGGCTGCAACCAAAAAAACAGCCAGGCGTTGTGGCAGGCACCTGTAGTCCCAGCTACTTGGGACAGCTTGAGGCTCTGTCTCAAAAAAAAAGGACTTGGCATTAATGGGGGTGGAAACAGGTCTCCAAAACTGAATGTCTGAATTAGCTATCATATGAAAAAAACACTGTATAATATTTAGCATAAAAAAGCTAAAAGGCAACCAAAAATACAGATTAACTCTATTTTAGAATTATGAGGGTTCTTCTTGATTTTCTCTATTAGAGTACTTGTGTTTTCTCATTTTCTGCACCAGACATTATGATATATTTTTACAAGAAAAATTGTATCATCTATAAAAACATTTGGTTGTTCGTTTATGTACATCTGAGTATGTGTGAAACAAGATGATGTTGGGGCCTCAGGCCAGATTTGACAACTAAGGTCACAGCAGAGAACTGAAGGCAATATAACATGGTATTCTAGATTCAGAGCAGGGCTTGCTGAGAGGCACTGAATCAGAAAAAGGAACACTACCAATAACGTGCCAAACTTTCAATGACTAACTAAATTCTACATTTTATTTAATGTAGTTTTCTGTACCTTTTAATCCATAATGAAAAGTTTTTTAACAAATGCCTTAAAGAATGAAATGAAGTTATTCTTTTTTTTGAGACAGAGCCTCAAGCTGTCCCCCTGGGTAGAGTGCTTTGGCATCACAGCTCACAGCAACCTCCAACTCCTGGGCTCAAGCGATTCTCCTGCCTCAGCCTCCCAAGTAGCTGGGACCACAGGCGCCCACCACAACGCGCTCGTCCATTTTTTGGTTGCAGCCATCATTGTTGTTTGGCGGCCCGGGCTGGGAATTCGAACCCGCCACCTTAGGTGTATGTGGCTGGCGCCTTAGCCGCTTGAGCCACAGGCACCAAGCCGAAATGAAGTTATTCTAATGAATATAAATGTAGTGGACTAATTATATCACTTTGAGAAATTACTAAGAAAGGTCAGTAGAAGAAAAAAAGGGGACCACAAAGGGAGAGATGGAAAAAAATGTATCTACCAATAAATTATTACTTATGATGTTTCAGAAACCTATCTCTTCACACAGAAAGATGTTCTGTAAAGTCGGCAAGATGGAAGCAGATTACATACACATAATATGACTACATCTTTAATGCTGAAAAAGAATTTAAATACCTAGAAGATGACAAACCAAAGGATTGTCATAATCTTTTAATATGAGTCAGAGATAGTATATGAGCATCGGGCATCTGATCCATCTGGGGGTTAGGGGTTGATTCTGTCCCTCTATGTGACAACTATGAGACATACTCTCAATAATTTCACAAATATAAATAGCAATATATGCAAAGCACTATTCTAGGTACAGGATATACCCAGGTAAATAAGACTAAAGACTTTTAAGAAGTGATAAATTAAGATCTGCATTAGAGAAATACTATCCTGGCTGCAACATAGAGAATGAATTGAAGTGAAACAGGGAAACCAGTTTTGTGGCTATTACAGAATCCAAGGAAAAATAAGCAGTTCTGAGATATACCTAAGAGTTAGAATCTACAGATTCAAAGTTAACTGAGAAGTAAGTAAGGAGCCATAGAATGGACTCCTTAGTGCCTGGCTCAAGAAACAAATGCATGGTGCTTTGTTAATTGATATAAAGTATACAAAACGAAGGCCAAACTTAATACAGCTGGCAAAAATAAAATATAACAAATAAAACAAAGGTGGGAGCAAAAATAAAAATAGGAAGGCCAGGTTAAAGAATTAATATACAGTTTTAGAACCAAAAAATTTGATATGCCTGCTGCATCTTTTTATTTCCCCTCCTTTTTAGAGGCAGAGCCTTGCTGTTCTGCCTGGGGTTGGCCTTAAACTCCTGAAGTCAAGCAATCTTCCAACCTCATCCTCACAAGTAGCTTGGACCACAGGCAAGAAGCTGGGACCACAGGCTGGAACTACAAGTGCACACTATCATGCCTGGCTGTTTCCTGCATCTTTGAAAAGACATACCCCATAGCTAACTGAATATAGGGTCCAGAGCTGAACAAAGAGAGCTGAGGTATAAGAGTAATTACTAAATAAATGACAACTAGAAGATATAGAATCATGAGTTTGATAAGAGAGACACTGCAAAGGAAAGATGACTGGATTCTCATATCTGCTTCAGACAATTTATCCCCTTGTCATCTTTAAAGAAGGTCCATGTTTCTCCAATGTAAGATTTTGAGAAGAGTTACATCAGAGATACTACTAAGCCTTATAGTAAAGGTCCAGGCCAAAAAAAAAAAGAAGAAGGAAAAATTAATCTACTGTAATTTTTCTTGCATCAGCTTAAAAATCACAGGGTAGGAGCTGCCTTATTATAGGAAGAGAGGAAGCTTTGTAGTATGGAGATTGGTTAATGAGTTTCTGTTTGATGTCTACTGTGGGAGCCTCATGCTCTAACTGGCAGTCCTGCACTTGTTAGGAGCCAACATCCACATACACCTGTTCTAGTCAATAACCCTTCTAACACAATCATTAGCTGAGAGTATGACAATGAAAACCAAACCTATATATTCTCTGGCTTTCAAACATCTAGCATAACACTCAATGAAATTAAAATCCTGAGCACATAATAGCAGAATTAACCACAGAACTTCCTTGGACTGTGAGAATGCTTTTCTATTTAAGTAAACTGTTCAAACAGCAGGTCGGTGCTTCCGTCATAAGTTTCTCCTTCACTATAAATAAGAGAAAGCTTACAGGTTTTCGACAAATTAATGACACCACCAACAGTTTTTTGTTTTAATTATACTATAGAATTAATTTGGGGGAATGTAAAGTTTATAAATTTTAAAGCACACTCAGATTTGTATTAAGTACCAGCACAGTAACAATACAGAACTTTTTCGTCACCGCAAAAAGAGCCTCATGCTATTCAGTTATAGTTACACCCTCCTTCCACCCATAATCTCTGTCAAACACATCTGTTTTTTCCATCACTATGGTTTTGCCTTTCGAGAATGTCATATAAATGAAATTATACAGGAAACATTTTGAGTGATTTCTTTCACTCAGCATAAAGCTTCCAAGATTTATCCAAGTTAGGCT